AGCGCACAGCTCACACACACACAGGAGATCGCACAGCTCACACACACACAGGAGATCGCACAGCTCACACACACACAGGAGATCGCACAGCTCACACACACACAGGAGATCGCACAGCTCACACACACACAGGAGATCGCACAGCTCACACACACACAGGAGATCGCACAGCTCACACACACACAGGAGATCGCACAGCTCACACACACACAGGAGATCGCACAGCTCACACACACACAGGAGATCGCACAGCTCACACACACACAGGAGATCGCACAGCTCACACACACACAGGAGATCGCACAGCTCACACACACACAGGAGATCGCACAGCTCACACACACACAGGAGATCGCACAGCTCACACACACACAGGAGATCGCACAGCTCACACACACACAGGAGATCGCACAGCTCACACACACACAGGAGATCGCACAGCTCACACACACACAGGAGATCGCACAGCTCACACACACACACACACAAACATCTATATATATAAAGCTCTTGCTTACGTGAGAAGGAATATCCAGGTTGCTGCTTGGGAGTCGAACACAGTTTCTGCACATCTTATTGACCAGATCTTCTCGAATCACCACCATCTCCTGACTGCAGTACTGAATCCTGAACACAACCCACACTGAACACATTGAGCTCACTCTTCTCACACTCTCTCTCTCACACACTCTTCTCACACACACACACACACTCTCACACACACACCTGCAGGGGTTGGTGGTGAAGACGGAGAACGGCACACGCTGTCTAAACTCCTCTGTGATGTGCTCAGCCAGTGGAGGTCTGTCAGCAGAAACAGCTTTACACTTAAAGAGTATTCAGTCATTCAAGGAGCATGATTGACATGTGAATGAAGACGGTTCTAGTACGTCATTGACTGAAACGCTGCTCCTAACGTTATACCTGGGTAAGACCGTGCCGGGCCCGGGGTCTTCTGGTCCGGGAACAAACACAAAACGACTGCTGCAAAAACACGTTTCAGAGGAGTCAGTGAAGTCCATGACACTGTGTCGAGCCGTGATTCAGAAAGAGACATCACAACAAAAAAATCTTTGTCTTAAGCTTTCAAGTCAATTCAAATGTCTTACCTGTTGTGAATGCTGGGATACTCACAAATGAGATCAGCAAGTGCTTTAAAAGACTCTGAAAACAACATTGTTGCATCGAGAACAATTAGTTTAGCTTTAAACATGATCGTGCAACAGCAGCAGTTCTTCAGAGACGTCAAACCTTTGAGTGTTCGGAGCTGGTGTCTGCCGTACGGAGCCGAAGAGAAGTTCCCACAGAAGATGAAGCAGGTGGGCGGCATGGCAGAGTAGCCTGAAACCATTCAGCATTTCAGTCAATCACACACGTAATAACTCATGAAGGCATGATGGGAGTGATTATTCAAGGAAAAGCTCCCACTGTTTCGTTTCTAATGATCTCTAGAGATGCTCTAAAATGGAAGCAGTGTTTTTTGTTTTGCAGCCAATCAGAAAGCAGCTCAGTAATCTTGATATTATGAAGAGAAATAAATACATCTGATAACAATCTTTAAATGTAATTATTCTCCATGCCATTATTCTGCATTTTGCTGGAAAGAGATTATAGTTGACGAGACGAACACACGCTCTGATCTGTGATGAGACACATGAGGAAAAACACACAGACTACGAACACAAGGACCTGTTTGAAAGCTGCAGATATTAACATATAGCTGTCA